TCAAACTTCTACCACGTGCTGAAGTTTGTTCACAATCTCGTTCAAATCGTCAAAGGGTGGCAAACTCAACACGAGCATCAAGGGAAGCATCATATCGCCCCGTAGAGCCCATGTTAAACAAAGAGAGATCAAGTCAATTTGCTTATGTGTAAAAGCGATTTTTGATTTGTAATACAAATTCAACCAATACAAATTTTGATATCATTTTTACGATCTACAAGTGACAAAGGTGTTAGGTCTCATGTTTGTGAGCCTACTATCTGATCTAGTTTTGATGATTAACAAATAATTCCTAACATGTTTGTCGAGTGTTTGTGTTAGCTTGTTAGGTATTCTACACAAAGATCCTCTATCGGAGGTTAGATGGATTTGGGCGTAAACGATGATATCATGGAGGTTGGTGGAAATTGGAATGAAACCGTCGCAATTCAAGTCAAGATTCATCATCACTTCATCCGCAACCAAGACGAGCTTATTGAAGATCATTTGCTTGGGTATATAGTTTTGTAGTTTAGGCTTTACTTTATGTGTTTATACTTTAAAGCTCAAACTATACACATACACATTTTCGTTTTATTGTATTATATGTTTTTGGGAAAATAACAAGTTTATGGATTAAAGACTTGTTTACACTATTTTATATTTTTTCCTCAAGTTTATTAATCTGTTGAAAAGTGTTTCAAAACTTGTTTGGAATAATTTCATCAAAATTAAGTTTTGACGATTTCGTATTCTTAAAAAGTTTGCAAAATACATGAGTTTTCACTAATAGTAAATGCACTTTCAAAATTTTCTTCTTAACATGTTTATTTTCATGTATACAAACATTTCCCCAAGTTTTATAATTTTTGGAGATAATTTGTTATTTTTAATTAAATTTACAAAATCATGTTTCTGAAAAACAAAGTATCTGGAATATCATATATCAGTCAGTCCAATCAGTCGACCGATGATGGTGCGTCAGTCGACTTATGTGGTTCCACCAGTCAACTTACCAGCATAATGTTTTTCAGCTGTGTTTTACAGTCTATATCAGTCGACTGATGAGAGTCCATCAATCGATCGATATGAGTCCATCAGTCGACCGATATGATGCCATCAGTCGACTGATAAGCTTTCATCAGTCGACCGATGAGAGAATCGTTGCAATAACGCCTAGTTTTTCTAGATTCTATATTTTTGTGGGTTTTTGCCTCGTTTTTTATGCTTTTCTCTGGTTTAGGATGATATGTTGAGAGACTATAAATAGTCCTCAACACTTAGTTTCATGTATGGAAGTTTAGAAAAGGTTTTGTAAGTTTGTTTAAGGGTTTTTGAAAGAAAAATCAAGTGTGTTTGTTTATGCAAAGAGTTTTACAAGAGAAGAAGTTTGTTTAAGGGTTTTTGAAAGAAAAATCAAGTGTGTTTGTTTATGCAAAGAGTTTTACAAGAGAAGGAGATCAAATTCGGTTTTGAGCATTCAAAATCAAGTGTGTTTGTTTATGCAAAGAGTTTTACAAGAGAAGGAGATCAAATTCGGTTTTGAGCATTCATCTTCAAACCTCTATCTCTCTTATTCTTAGAGAAGTTTTCTAAACTCATTATCTAACTTATTTTCATTTTTGATTCTTATATATATTTGCTAGATTAATTTGAGTTTAATTTGAGTTTTACTTATTGTTTCACACACAACCTTTTGAGCTTAAGTATTTTCCATTTAGTATATTTGGGTTGTGGGTGTGATCCATTGAGTGAGCTTAAATTTTGTTCTCATTTGTATTAGAGAATAAATCTTGTATTTGCACTTACATTGAGAGAACACGTTGTAATACATAAGGGCACTTAGAGGAGTGGTTGAGAGAGACCTTGATTAATTTCTAGAGGAGTGACGTTGGTTGTAAAGTCTAGGGAGAGGTAGTAAATCCAAGCACTTGAGGAAGGTGACACGGGTAGGCCAATACTTAGAGGAGCGTATTGTGGTATTGACAATGTGTGATTGTAAACGTTATCAGTGAGCGTTGAAAACTGAGATTTGTGTAGTTGTGATTTTGTGATAGTGGAGATTCTTCTCGAGGGTGAGGAGCAAAGACATAGGTCGAGGGTTGACCGAATTCCATGATCATTTCCTTTGTGTTGGCGTTTGACTTAGCGTATTATTCTTGTGCTCATTGCTTATCATATTTCTATATCGCCATTGTCTCATAATTTATATCACCCATTGTTTATTTGTATATCCTTGCATATATTACTTGTGTATATCATATTGCTAAGGCATTAGTTAATAAGTTTTAATTTGGCATCGATATCGGATAAGATTATCAATTACCATATTCACCCCCCTCTCTAGGGTACTTTCAAAAGATAATAGGTTGGCATCTGCTCTTAACTGTAAAGAAGAATCCTTACCTCTAACTTATCTGGGTTTGCCTTTGAGATGTGGGAAACTTAAAAGATCTGCTTAGCAACCTCCAATAGAGAAGATAAAAATAAAGTTGTCTCCGTGGAAGGGTAAAAATCTCTCTATTGGTGGTTGTCTCACTTTAATAAATGTTGTGCTCTCATCTTTGCCTTTGTACTACATGTCTTTCTACAAGTTACATGATTGGCTCATTAAAGCAGTTGATAGAGTCAAAAAAAAATTCCTATTGGGAGGGGGGACATCAGATAACAAACTTATGAAATGTTTGGTCAAATGGAATATGGTGCATGTCTAAAAAAGAGGGAGGATGGGGTGTTCTTGATTTCAAATGCCTTAATAACTCTCTCATATTTAAATGTCTATGGTATACCATTAGTAGACATTCTTTTGTTAGCTCAACCCTATCATCGCTCTATAAGCACAGATCTAGCACTATTTAGAGCTCCTCTCACAGTTCAATTAATTCTATCTTCTAGAAAAACATTACACTGATTAGAGAATTATTAATTAACTGTATAAGATAAAGGTTGGGTGATAGGTCTCTAATCAGGTTTTGGGAGGATAAATGGTCTGTAGATAATACACTTAAGAATCTCTTCCCCAATGCTTTCTCTCTGGCTTTGACACATAATGTCACTGTTCTTAGTCAGGGTTCCTTTCGTAATGGTTCTTAGATGTGGCACCCTACTTTTAGAAGATCAATCCATAATCACCAAAGATTGGATAAACAGAATCTTATTCTCTTTCTTTCCTCTTATAAGGTTGATAACAATTTTGGGACCATTGACACTCCTGCATGGACTTTATCCAACACAGGTAATTTTTCTATTAAATTCACTTTACAAGCTCACTATTAGTAGAGGTGTATCCTCCCCCCTCTCAATGCAAATCTGGAAATCCATCCTCCCTCTCAAGGTCAAAATCTTTTTTTGGCTGCTATCTCTCAATAAACTCAATACCAAGGTTCACTTGAGTAGGAAGGGTGGTAGGGTGATCAAACATGTTCTCTCTGCCTTAATGAATTAGAAGATTATAATCACCTTTTTGTTATTTGTCAGTTCTCTGCTAATATTTGGAACTTCTACAAGTCTCACTTTTGGCTATAATGGATGACCAATTAATTTGCATGATCTCATCCACTCCAAAAGAGGGTTCCTTAGATGGGCTAAATAGAGAACTATTTGGCAATCTCTATTTCCAATTACATGTTGGTGCATATGGCATGCACGGAACAATAGGATCTTTCACAATGTTACACCTAGTGTAGAAAGCATTATTAACTTATCAGTTCACTTTATAAATGAATGGGCAGGCTCATCGTTAGGGAAAGTTGCAAAGACTCTCAAGCTAGCAATGGAAGAACATGAACTTTCATCAATTCTAGTATCGAGCAGCTGAGAGAGAAGTCAAGAAGCTCAGACAGTGCAATAAGAAGATAATGATATGAGACAGATGCAAGCAAATGAAGAGGAAAGGAGAGATCGTATATAACCTGTCAAACTAATTTTCTCTGTTTTTTTGTAGCTAGTTTGTAACTAACTATCTTTTTCAAAACTGCTTGTTGCAGATAAACACATGTATACTTTGTTTTTTTTAATGATTTCAGGGTGGAAACTTTCATTTCTCCTCCTCTTTTTAGTCGTGTGGAAATTTTTTTCCCATAACTATATCAGTGTTGTGGTGAATGACGGCTAGGGCCCTCTCGTCACCCTTATTGATGTATTTATGGAGAATGTCTCACGTACCAATTTGGGAGAAATGTTTTGTTTCTATCTATACTTTTGTAGGACACAAACTCGTGTCTATCCTCTTTATATGTGAATGAAATGAACATGAAGTTTCCCTAGTTTTTCTGCTCAAAAAAAAAGGAAGAATTTTTAACGGAGAAACCTAGTATTATGTAAATCATAATTCTATAGTTAGAACATTCTTCAATTAAAACGAAGTAATATTTTTTTTTCTATATTCTTAAACTATTTTTTTTTCACAAAGAACTTTTTAAAAGTGTAATAACAATCAACCAAACGTTAAATTGAGATATAGTTAGGACAAATATTGAGTTCCTTTCTTGAGGGGTACAAATATTGACTTTCAACTTTATAAAGCAACAAAAGTTGAATATTATATGGAGCTATCTGCAACAAATTCTGGTATCTTATTGTTTTTGTAATTAATATTATTAATTAATTAATTAATATTTCTTATTTATAATATAACTTTTTAGTAAAAGTGGGAAAAAACGATTTTTATCTTAATTATGCATATGATGACTGCTAAACCACATAGTAATAGGCAAGTCCCCTACATTGCATAAGGAAAACTAATATTATTAATTCAAAATTTCTAGAACATTCTTCAAATTAAACTAAAGGAATCCCTTCTATATTCTTAAACTATTTCTTTTTTCACAAAGAACTTTTCAAAAGCATAACAACAATCAATCAAAAGCATAGTAAAAAATTGAGGCATACAGTCAAAACAAATAAATACGGACTTTTAGCCCCGTTATAAAGCAACAAAGGTTGCAAAAATTCGTAAACTACCGGATCTCCTTGCAAAATTGTCATTTCACTTCGATACCGGTCCCCTTTTCTGGTAAAATTCCCCTTCTTTCTCCCTCTCTCTACCTGTTCTTCTTAAAAGATCACTGTGTTCTCATCTTTTCTAATCGAGACCCTAATTAATCTCAAACCCTAACCCTAGCAGAGATCAACCCAGTGCGATTGCAGGAGAGTAGATGCGATCCCGTTGCGGGAACTAGTTGGATCCAGACGCAGGAGAGATAAATTTGGGGGAGTAATTTTTCTAGGGTTTTCTGTGATGAAGGATCCCTTGGATAAAACGAAGGTCGTGCTTCGGCACTTGCCGCCTTCGATCTCGCAGTCGGCGTTAATGGATCAGATTGATGCTAGATTCTCCGGCCGCTACAATTGGTTCTCGTTTCGCCCTGGGAAATATAGGTTAGGGTTTCTTTTTGGTAAATTTGCGATATTTAATTACATCTGGAGAGCAGAAGATCGTCTGTGATTTTTTTTGAATTAATAGAAATTATTAAACCTTATATCAAGTTACTGTAATAGCTTCTGTAAAAGCAATTCTTTTAAATACGAATTGTTGGTATTTTGTAGTTTCTAGCTTGGATGGGTATAATCTTTAATGTAATTATCTATGATGAAGTATTACTACAAATTTTTTAATTTAGTTATTTATGATGAAGTATTTCTAGCTTGAATGCCATAATAAATTGCTCATGCAAATTAAGGTTCAGGTAGACTTGGTAGTTTTGGACTGGTTCAATGAAGAGAAAGGCCTTAAATTTCTTGCTGCTTAGAACATGCCCGAAGGAGAAACTTCAGCAGTGGATTAGCAACCAAAAGTAAAATACTAGGGAAGCAAAAGTAGGAAATACATCTCTTAGTACCTCAATATTTATGGGCTTTCATGTACAATCTCAATAAATTTCAGCTTGTGTAGAGGTTTCGACATGTCAAATCAGATAAAGAATGCTTACCCAACTTAATTTCCTTATACATGCTAAACAATGAGATTGTCTGTAGGGAAATGTCTATCCCTAACATGTGCCCTTTTTAGCTGGTAATTGGATAAAGGATTTGATATGCTCCCCTTATAACTACTCATTTGTTTCTTTGCTCCTAACTCGTCTTTTCCTCTAAACTACAATCGAGACTCCAATTTATGGTGGTTTCTTTTATTTGTCTGTACAGAAATCTCAATCCCTAACCTTGTCGCCCATCCTTTCTAGCTGGTCGTTGGATAAACGGGTTTGACATGTTCTCCTTATTGATTGATACTGCTTTGGCTCTTTCTTCTAAATTATCTTTAAACTATCTCCCAAAACATGCTAAACTACAAACAACAACACTCCCATTTATGGAAGTTTCCTTAATTTGTCTGTACGAAAATGTTAATCCCTAATCATGTGGTCTCTCTTTTTTATCCGGTTACTAGATAAAAGGGGTTGATGTATTCCACGTATTGATAATCCGTTACTGTTAGTTCTCTCTCCTAATTAATATTTTTCCAAAACATGCCAAACTATGATCGGCACTCCAATTTATTGAAATTTCTTTAACTTGTTTACATGGAGACACCAATGAACCCCTTTCTTGATGGTTGTTTGATAGAAGGGTTTGATATATTTTCTTCATTACTACCGTTGGTTCCTTCTCCTCTATTATCTCAACACTTCTCATAAGCATGCTAAACTATGTCTGATTATGAAAGTTTCTTTAACAGGTCTGCATGGGTATCTCAAACCCTAATCATGTGCCCCCTTCTAGCCGTTTGTTGGATAAAAGGTTTTGGTATTCCTTTATTATTATTATTACTAGACTAGACACCCTTGGTTCTGTCTCATAAATTATCTCATTTAGCGATGTCATAACCAAGTTAAATACTCATTTGTCTCCATAGTTCTAATTCATGAACCAGTTGCCTTAAGTAGAAACGACGACATCAATTACATGACCTGAGCCTCAAAATCAATGTCAATAAATTCTTATGTCAGTTTCTATCTAAAGGATTTCGTCGGCTGGGACATTATTTGGTGTAATTAGCTGATTAGTAAAGGTGGCAATTGTAGTTGCTGAGGACTTAATCTGGGTTTAAGAGGTTAAATGTGTCAAGAATTTATCCGAGAATTTCAATTACTTATTCAAGTATGTCAGTTTATGTTTTTGTGATATACTTATTAGAGTCATGTTAATGCTTCCCAATGTATACTGAGCAGGAGATTAATCATAAATGAGTGTGATCTGTGCACTGTTATAAATAGCGGTAAATAGCCCCGCAATAGCAGCGCTAATAGCGTTAGCGGTCCCTTCCCGCGACGCTATCGCCCGCTACGTTATCGCGCAATAGCGGTGACATATTACGGAATATGTCTGTTCGTAAAAGCGGCCAATAGTGTGTTATAATGGTAAATAGTGAGCGATTGTATTCGAAATTTGCTTTTTGACTGCTATTTAAAAATGGTTTGAGGCTTATTTTTTTAAAATTAAACTCAATCCTTAACCATTGCATTCCATCGTCTCCTGTAATTTTCAGCATACTCCCGTCACCTCTCATAGCCTCTGGCACCTACCTTGATACTTCCTCTCACCTCCTTCACCGTGAGCTCCTCTTAGGGCAGCCCTGTCACCGCTAAGCTCTTCTTCTCGAAGACGACGATTTTTTGACTCCTCCAGTCATCTTCGGTATTACGTGATGGTTACATGTCTATTTCATGTTTAGGATCTCTTTAAATCATCTAATATATACTTTTAGATTTCTTAGATTTTTCTTTAATTTTTTTTAGTATTTATACATATCTAAATTAGACCGCTATTTGACTTTGCGCTTTTTACCGTTATTTTGCCACAATAGCCCGAAATAGCCTTAGCGATGTCTCACCGCGACGCTATCCGCTATTGATAACCTTGGATCTGTGTATCCTGCTTTATATTTTCAATTTTACATTTTCACTATTATTTAATTCTAAGTCATGGTTAGTGTTAGAGTCTACCCAAAATCTAGGTTATAGATCATTAAGTATACAAAATATCAGTCTGTTCTAGTGTCCATCTTTAACTCCAATCCCCAATGTGGCTTCATTACCAGTTACCACAGACTCAAGTCATGTGTTAGTCTTTTTGAGAAGGCAGAATAAATGAGCGTAAGGTTATAACCTCACATGGGACACCTGAAATGCAAACAAGCCATTGGGAAAGCCTCAATTAGGAAAATATTCTCTAAGGAATTTTAAGTATTTTCTATGTTATCAAGGATAAGGTTTAAAGTATAGGACTTTTTAAATGCCTAACTTGATAAGTCTGGGACCTATGTACATCAAACAACTTGTCCAATAGCTAGAATCCTAGACCATTGTGTTAACTTAAAATTTGGAATTTTTTCTATATTAGTTTGTTAGATCTCTTATATTTTGAAATTAGTCCCTTGAATCATTGAAATTGCTACTTGGTCCCCAATCCTTAAGTTATTTTGAAACTTGTCTTTTGAATAATTGAAATTGATATTAGGTCCCTCTAATTGAGATTAAGTAGCAATTAGAGGGATTAGTTTGAAACAACTCATGAGAATTAGGGGGTCTAATTAATCCCACTAGTTGCTACTACTTGATTGGAGGGATTAATTTCAAAATACGTTAAGAATTGGTGGACCTATAGTAATTTCAATGATTTGAGTGACTAATTTCAGAATAACTTAAAACTGGAGGTATAATGGAAATTTTGGTGATTGGAGGGACTAATTTCAAATTGTGAAAGATTAAAGGAACTAATATCAGAAAACCCCTTAGAATTCTAAGTTGCACAAGTCAGACGATAATTATAGCCTTCTATGCCAATACTGAATGCTTATATGTTTTCTTGAAATAGCAATGTGCTATTGGTGAGACAGATATATGTGATTGCTGACATCTGTAAGTGGTACTTTGTTGATTGTTTGTACTTGGCGGACTTGTTTAAATATGAGTCTTTGTATTGACTATTTTGTTAATTGTTATATTCTCAAATGGTGATGATGCATTTAATATCCTTTATTTTACATTTACAATCAACATGAAAGGATATCTTTCCTTCATGGAAGTAGTATCAGAGCAGTATATTGATCTAGCTGTTGTTCCTTTTATGATTTAAGATTATAGTCCAGTTAGTATCTTCTTAGTTTCAGTAAGTTACTCTGGTTTCTGTTACACAAGTTCATCAAGCTGACTGCAACTTTAACTAGTCAATTACGCTATTTGGATTCTTGCCCATTATAGTTACATCAAAATTTTTTCATATTATTTCTGCGTGGTTAGACGAGAGTTATCTATCTTATGTCTCAAGTTTTTCTACCATCCTAAAGCGTTGTTAAGGCTCTTCTCTTGCGGTAACTTGTGTACTTACTGAATTTTATTTAAGTATCCATTTATTAAGGTATGGTACACATAAGTTCAGATATATTCTGCGTGTAAATTACCTCTATTGTCTCTGCAGCCAGAAGAATCAGCGGTTTTCACGAGCCTACATTGATTTCCAGAGCCCCGAAGACGTTGTAGATTTTGCTGAATTTTTTGATGGACATGTATTTGTCAACGAAAAAGGTATCCTTAGGCTGCTAATTCATATTACATTAATGAAACGATATGTTTATCCCAGTTGGGTTGTGTACTTTTCCGTTTATTTACAAATATTTTGTTGGCTTGTGGATAGCTTCATTTGAATTTCAACTTTTATTTTCTGTTTCAATTTTTTTCCTTTAAATAGCGGAGATCATGTTTTTGACACTCACATCGCAATGGGCTTTATGATATTATAGTTTAGTATTATTATTACTGTTAGAATGTTATTAACATATTGACATGAATTATTTTTTTCCTTTTATCTGTTCTTCAGGTACTCAGTTTAAGGCTCTTGTAGAGTATGCACCATCACAACATGTTCCAAAAGTATTATCTAAGAAGGATGGTCGTGAAGGAACTATATTCAAAGGTACTTGTTCCTGTATTTTTTGTGTTTCAAATTTACATCCAGTGTTTATTGAACTGAATGTACATCCGGCTGACCCAATATTAAGGTTTTAATTACGTAAATTTGTTGAACAAATATTCAGATCCTGAATATGTGGAATTCCTTGAGTTCATTTCAAAACCTGTTGAGAATCTTCCCAGTGCTGAGATTCAGTTGGAAAGGAGAGAAGCAGAGAGAGCTGGTTAGTAGTAAAGGAGTCTTGCAGAAGCACATATAACTTTGTTGATTATTATAGAAAAATATTGTTTTAGATTGTGTCATAATCTTTTATATTCACTGTCATTTAGGCGGACCAAAGGAATCTGTCATAACAACACCTCTGATGGATTTTATTCGCCAGAAACGTGCAATTAAGAGTGGGTCTCAGGTACAGAAGCTAGAACTTGTGGTCTTTTGATAAGGATTCACGTCCCCTCTTTTATAAAGTTGATTTTGGTATTCTAATTTATCTATATGCTGGTAACCTGCTGCAATTTCTTCATACTAAATTTGTCCACGACTAAGAAATTTATTGTTAAAATAAAACAAATCCTATTATTTCTCATATGCCAATGGGTGAAGCCAAGCATGCCTGAGTAACACATGCTATTCTCTTCTGTATTCGGCACCAATCTTGTAATGATATTGTAACAGCAATTTTTTTTCCCTTAAAATGGATTTCATGTGTTCTCCAAATCCTATTCTAATAACTTGTTTCAGATATTCTCATTTACATGCTTTCATGAGTAAAATTTTCTGATTGCTCATTTGCTCAATCTGATTTGCACAGAGATTGATTATCAGCAGATACCTGATATGTATTGGCTTTTTCATCTCGGGTTTTGCGTTGTCTGGGGCAGATCACCCCCTGTTTTATTGGATCTGGGTTTGGGTGGGTAACGTACCAGATAGTTATGAATGATACAAGCCCGAAACATGAAAATTCACAATGAAAAACAAGATCCGAGCAAAAGAAAAATCTCTTCCCCTTAAGTTAGTAGTTGTCAGGACAAAATAGGAAAATATTAACGGGAAATTATGTTCTTTTTTGCTAGCATTTATGGAACCAAAACAAGAAAAACTTAAAGAGTAAAACAAAATTAACTTTTTTTCCTTTTCTTCTCGGTCAATTGCACTGCTCACCAACTCAATATATGCGACTAGAGTGCAATAGTGGTACTGGGAAACAGGATAGCAGGGAAGAATAAGAAGAAGAAAGAAGGGAAAGGTTGCAACATTCCGAAAGGTTGCAACATTCCGAATGCCACACTATATCACAAAAAACCATAACTTTAAGTTCAGCTTTCACTGAAATGGCTACTGCTAATGGAACTGGTAAATTAGACCAATAATTTTGACTGTAGCAGCAACCATAGATGGTCAACTATCTGGGGTAGCAGTGGTTGATATAGCACCAGGCCCTGACCTTTCGACTTTGGCGTGGGTGCAGTTGACCCTCAACAAGTGGGTACCTGTGAGCACCATTAGGATAAAAAGTTTATCTCTGCCCTATTGCCAGTTTTCTTCTCATAAGAGAGTGTGTGGGTTGGTGCATGGTCTGCCCTGTTTCTTGTCATAAACAACTAGCTAGCAACACCTTGATTTTAATTGTGGGCTTCCCTTTGATTAACTAGTTTCTTTTGCTAATTAATTCATGTAATCTGCAAAATGTAAAAGATAAAAATAAATAAAATATTTAGCAATATAAAGCTCTACTCTTGTAACTGATTTCTTAATTATTTAGACATAGCAAATATCCAAAACTTAAAATAAACACAGAAACCGTTATTGTAAACACGAAGGCACATTAAATTTTCAAAATGTAAGAGATAGTATCCAAGATATAAAACTAGTAAATAATGAACACCTTGGGAGCAAACAAATTTACAATCACCAAATAACATTCAGAAAATATAAATTAAAAAAACTAATTTCAGAATGAATATGAATACAATTTGTAAAATGAAAAGTGAAAGACATCGACAAATATGAAAAGTTAAGGAATGCTTCTATAAACTATTTAAAGTTATGACTATAACCTAAACACTATCAATGAAATCTTTTATGAATTTGTATATTTTTTCATGATTAAATTTAAAAATTAAGTTAATAAGAGATTCAATAATTAAATACGATACTTCTGTTCATGACCATCAAATATCAAAAGAATCTGTCTGCAGCCAACATTGAGATTCCAAACCTTGATTTTCCCATCGCCTTATATTTTGCATGGTCAACTTCTCAGTATGCACTAGCCTGCACCAACTTAGATATGCCAAATATTGGAAATTAAGACTGGAGAAGTTTCTAAACTTATAATGATTTCTGCTTATCTTGTACCAGATTGATACCTGTTAATAGTTTTACCCACTTCTTCACTGAACACATTACTTCGTATTTTATTGTGTGAATGACTTGTTTCTTAGGCACATTTGACTATCTGAGGTCTTAACAGGAGTTATGGGCTCGCACATTGTACTCAATACATCAGCATGGTTATAAATGGAACTGTTTGTGCATTCCCTACATATTGGTGTTTAAGATTGGCCAGCTTCAATGGTTGTGTGATGCACGACTGCTGACATGTTCTTCAATAGCAAGTTTATGCACAGCTTGAACCTTGCACATGTCTGTATTTATGCAGTGGAATTTGATATGTTTACGGCTGCTTGCGTACACTATATTATTGTAACTAAAGTGTCATAGGTTGGAGATGCTAGGGCTGAGCAAACTATGGTCTACATCAGTCTAACCGACCAAACCGTCTGATTTTAGGCACTTCAGTTTGGTTTTTCGGTGAACTCGGGTCGGGTCAGTTATAGTTTTTCAAATCGGTAGATACCTGCACCGACTGCCTACCCTTTAAATTCAGGCACGCCTCTTGTATCTAGTGAAAGAAATGTCTTTTCATACTCTATGTAGGCCCACCATGAACCCACGTGCTTTGTTGTTGATTACAACAATAGCAGCTCTATGTGGGCCCACCATCTTAATTATTTTATGAAGAATAATGAGATGAGATTCACCTTTTTCCCCTTTAGCAGTTTAGCTAGGCTTCTCCCAAATGCCCAGAGGAACACATTACTAGCCTCAACTTCTTCTAATTACCTATTTCACTTATGTTCTTCTTCAATTTTTAATCTCCTTATCTTAGCTTCGTATCTTTGCAACAATGGGAGAGTGTTTTCCACT